AACCGCGAAAGCTGAAACCTTGAACCTAATGTAATGAGGCGCTTGGGTATTTGCTTACGGTTCCTTAATACGTTTATCGCGTCGAAAAGCCTTGATCCGTAACTAAGCGACTTCTCGAAGAGATTTGAGGGCTGGCACGTATGAGCATGGGTTCCTTCAAAGTAGCTATCCACTCGCAGGTCATTGCAGGAAAGACCCTTCAACGGTCTATGCTACAAGCGTCAAGCGCGGTGAAGCTGTTTAGTAGCTCGTTTCAGGGATGAATATAGTACCCTGAACATCTACCAATGCCTACCCGAATACCTCAGTCCGTTTATTAAGGCCCCGAAATCAGAATTTGTACTAGGTTTTGAGGTTTGGGGCCCTGGCTTCTCCCTGCACCAGGTGTCCGGCGCTACCACAGCGTCCAGCGCCAACAGCTCTCCGAGGTTTCCTCGCTGAGAACCGCGCTCGATGCGCTGGACGAGGCACCCGGAGGAAGCCGAAACCTTCAACCCTAAACCCTAAACCCTGAACCCCAAACGTATGACGTAGGAACCTGATTAAGAAACCCGGGGGCTATAACACCCAAAATAGTAGGGCTCATATAAGGAACCCTAGTAAAGGCCCGAGGTTTATTAATCAGGTTCCTACATCAGTCTAGGAATCATTTTTATTTGTGTTCATACAAAACCTAAGCGTATGTTAAACATACGATTTTGCTTATGGGTCCTAGGGGGGGGGTATAGAAACCCTAAACCCTTAAAGCTAGACTCTCAAGCGTAAGCTCCAAACCCCGAACCCGAGGTCTTTGAATGCTTCTGTGTCCAGTCCCAAATCGACAGGTTGAGATGTTTCATTTCAAGCTGTGAACCATACGATGATATCAAACACAGTAGTAACAATCAGAAGACCAAGCAGTGACAGCAACAAAGCCCAAAGTCCAAACACCTTGAGCCTTACTTTCGAAGCCTGACGACTTACCAATAGTGTTTCTTAGGGGTTCTTTAGATAAGCCAGACCCCTAGATTAAAGGCGTACAAACACCGTGCAAAACCCAGAGCCTTGAACCCAATACCAAGCGCGTGTTAGGCGTACTTCGAGCTGCGCAAGCCGAGCAGCCTGAGTTCGTCTGAGGAGGGGCGTGTGGGGGGTTTAGAGTTTTGGGTTCAGCATATAGGGTTCAGAGTTTGGGGTTTGGGATTTAGACAGAGTACTGGCTTTGAGCAAAGAAGCTGAACGTATTCGGTATCTCGTTATTAGGGTCATAGTGCAATATATGGGACTTTAGGATTCTATTCGCAGTGTCACTATCAGCCTCTAAAATTCTATAGGGGTTTAGGGTTCTGTCTGGTTTTATACAGGGAGTTTGCACGGGCTCCATAAGGTGTAGGCCCTTGGCTACTATTCGGATCTGCGAGAGGGATCTTGGTAAGGGTTCTACAGGGTTATGGTCTTGCATTAGTCAAAGGGGAAAAGGAGGGACCCTTAATGGGGACCCCTAGCCTATAATGGGCTATATAATGGGTATATAATAGCTATATTAAGGGTATATACCTAGGGGTCCTTATTAAGGGTCCCTCCTTTTCCCCTTGGAATTAGCAGTCTTATACCGGTCCTTTTGGGCTAAGGAGTGCTATTTGGATGTTTATAGGGAACTCCAGAAAGTTGGAATATGGTTTCATGGTAGGATACCCTATAATTTTCCATAGAAGGGTTAGGAGAATCATATTCCAAGTTTCTGGCTTTTACCTTATTGGGCTTTTATGAGGGCTTGATGGTCGGGATTTGGCGGTTTCGGACCCTAAGCCCTTAACCCCGAGCCTCAGACCCTGAGCCTCAGACCCTAAACCGAAACTCTGATCCGATGAGTGGGTTGAGGGCTCCTTGGGGGTTTAGAAGTTGGGTAAGGTATAGGGTTGAGAGTTTAGGATCTAGGGTTTAAGGGCTTTGGGGGCTTCGGGGAGAAGATTACGAGATTTAGGGGCTTCAGGCAGGGTGAAAATTCAAGGTTTAGTTGGGAGATTCTACGTACGTGATGGTGCATTGCTGGTGCAAAGTTTATCGTGTATCAGGGCTGTCTGTTGCTGGCTCCAGCAGGAGTCGGATGGTCTGAAGATTCTTCATCCCGTCTACCTTAATCCCACCTTTCGAGGCCCTTGATCGAGGCCCTTGATGCACACCTTTCCTCCCGGCTGCGAACCCCGGATGCCGCGTGAACTGAGACGATAAAGACTCGACTACACTCGGACTGCAAGACTAGGTAACATAACCATCGCTCTCGCTCTCGCTCTCGCTCTCGCTCTCCCCCCTCTCCCTCTCCCTCTCCCTCTCCCTCTCCCTCTCCCTCTCCCTCTCCCTCTCCCTCTCCCTCTCCCACTCCCACTCCCACTCCCACTCCCACTCCCACTCCCACTCCCACTCCCACTCCCACTCCCACTCCCACTCCCACTCCCACTCCCACTCTCTCTCTCTCTCTCTCTCTCTCTCTCTCTCTCTCTCTCTCTCTCTCTCTCTCTCTCTCTCTCTCTCTCTCTCTGTATATATAATTACATACACACATATATATATATATATATATATACATATATATATATATAGATACATATGCATATCACAAACCCTGAGCCCCAAGCCCTGACCTCCCCAAGCCCCGCAGGAGGAGCCCCAAAGTGGGTTCACCAGGCAGGCCCTCTTCCAGACCTTGCAGAGCGCAGGGTGCCGTGGCGAAATTGCCAACTTGCTGTTTCGAGCTTAGGCGCCGAAACCCTGCGTACTATAGGGGCCTGAACAATTACCGATACCTATGTTGGGGGTTCTTCATTTTATAATTTTAGTATTATGCGCACCAAAAGAACATTCTAATCATCGAGGCCCCTTTGTTTTTTTACATCCTTCAAGTCCCTAACAGGACCGTCTGAAGCCTCCTGCTCGGAAGGATGCGAGATACCATTGCAACCTCCAAAACCAAAGCCCTAAGCCCGAAACCCTTTGTAACCATTCAACCAACCTAACTCAGGCAGGGAGAAAAGAGGGTTCAAAAAAAAAACCTTTGTAACCTCTAGAAGACCTCCGCATGAGCTTCACCCTAAACACTCAGCCTAACAGCAGCAACCCGAAACTTTCGACGTCGTGCCCTTGGCCTCAGCACCCTGCGTCCTAAACCCGGAGACCCTGACGATCTGCAGGGATCTTTAGCTCTCGGTTCATCTCATCACCGGTTTGGGGTTTCGAATTTTTGGGTTTAGGGTTTGGGATTTAGCGTTCGGAGTTTAGGGTTTAGGGTTTGGGGTTTGAAACTCTAAACCGTAAACCCTAAACCCTACACCCTAGACCCTAAACCCTCAACCCTAGACCCTAAACCCTAAACCTTACACTCTAAACCCTAAACCCTAGACCCTAAACCTTAAACCTTACACTCTTAACCCTAAGGGGTTTCACCCTAAACCCCGAACCCCGAGCCGGCGAGAAGCCTGTTTTCATCGAGGTATGCGCTGAACAACGTGGAGCAGGCTCGGTCTGTCTCGACTCTTCAGGCTCCTTACTTGGGGGGTCGGGGGACTTAGTAACTGGTTACTTTAGGGACTTATAAGTACCATAACCCCCAATTAGGGTCCCTTTTAGGGTACTTATAAGTCTACTTACTACCTACTTACTAAGTCCCCCGACCCTCCAAGTAGGACTTACTGTGACTATGCTTAAGACTACTACTATTATGAAATTCTACTATTGTCCTTACTATGGTCATCATCATAAACTATACCCCACTACTACTGTTATTAAATTCTACTAATATTCTTACTATGGTCATCATCATAAACTATACCCCGCTACTACTGTTATTAAATTCTACTAATATTCTTACTATGGTCATCATCACAACTATACCAGCTTGGAATGGTTGGAGAAATCTGCGGGGAATCTTGTGACCGGAGCTTTAGGCTCCGTCCTGATCCGGTCTGAAAACCCCCCGTGCTTTGCTAACTCCTTGGGGTCTAGCGAGTCTAGGGTTTACGGATTAGGGTTTAGAGTTTACGGTGTACGGTTTAGTTTAAAGGGTTCAGGTATCAATAACAACAATACAACGAATAATAATACGATTAGTATTGATAGCCAGAGCAAGGACTCAACAATGCTATTTAGCAATACGAATAAAACTAATGCTAATCAGGATTCAGGGCAGCGGTTTAGGGTTTAGGGTTTAGGGTTTTGGGTTTAGGGTTTAGGGTTTAGGGTTTAGGGTTTAGGGTTTATGCACTTCTTCAAAACCATGGCGTGTTTGGCCTTGGGCGCCAGCCCTGGGCTTACGATCCGAGCTGCCGCAGACCCTTCCATATCCCGCCAGGAGGACAGCAACACCCGGATCCGGCCACATGGGTGTCGTTAGGGTCCCTTTTTGGCGACGCTAAATACTAGGTGCCGTATTATAGTAGGGACCCAAAAGGGACCATAATTTTGACAACCACCCACATGTACTCTGAGAAATACAGAGGCCTTAATAGATTCTCAATACTGAATGGTTTTTTTTGAGGGGGGGGGGTCTTGCTATAACCACCGTAGAATAGACACCAAGACCTTATTCTGACTATTGAGGCCCCTGTATTAGTAGGGTCGGTCACCTTGAGCTTTTTTGGGGTACTGTAATCCTTTTTCGACCTTGAAGGTTAACGTGTAGTTCCCCTAGGACACTGAACATGTAAGTATTCGGACTTTCTGTGTTAACGCCCACGGGTGTAATTCAGAATGCTCTTGTTTGCAAGCAGGACTGCTGGGATTCGCTGGTACCACCGGATAACTTGGGCACCCTGTCTGCCATGATGACGAAGAACTTGGGGCAGCAGTGCCGAAGTGAGGTGCAAGGACTCATGGGGGAGCTTTTCCAAGAATGCAGGAAGATGGAAGGGGCTTCCGAGAAAGGATGCCTCGAGGAACTCTTCTGGTGGTTCTTTGGATATGCTGGGGCCGGGTATCACATCGGCTTAGGCTTCACCTCGAAGTTAGCAGCCGCACCCCAAGAAGCCATGCTCTGGGCCGGGTTCTACGATGGCGATCCCCGTGGTTTGACCCAGAGGGCCTTGCAGGATTTCGCGAACATGGTGGACACGAGCATCGTCCACCCCGGCAGCATTTTGGGGAAAGTGGTTCAGAAGAGCAATGACCTCCTTGGCTGCAGAGGCGACAATGGGGCTTCGAGGCCCTGCTGTTGCGTGCCAGGGACGAGAGTGATAGACAAAGGGCCGGTCGTGGGGTTTTGGACCGGCGCAAGCCGTTTCTTCGTGCATGGCATGGCTTTAAAGAGTCAGGCCTCGGTGGTGGCTGTCCTGAACAAAGGCCTGGATCCAGAGACTTTGTCATAGTTGGGTCACATTTCACATTTTTGAGGATACTTAAGCCCCATAAGGAATAAACATGTAATTTTTTAATCCTATCCCAACCATGAGCTAGGAGAAGGAGTGGTCGCTCCACAAGTCCGTTTTTTGGAACTACGAGCTGCCGACACTGGAGTTTGAAATAGCAGATCCCGAGCACTTAGACTTTCGTCCGCAACTTCTACTGGTCGACATGCGGGGCACCTGCGAGGACACGGCCAGGTTGGTGACGGGGAAACTGGCTCGTTACCGCCACCAGAAAGTTAAGGCGTGGTTAATAGCCAAGCCCATCATTTGTTTCGATTGTCCCGAGGGCCAATGTGACCTCGACCGGGCGTTGGCAACCCGTGTCCGATCGTGTTTGGGCGAACATGCGCCCAGTTGTCCTAGATTCGAGTACTGCACTTAGGACGAAAGTTTGAGTCACTCGCGGCTTCATTGCAAGCCCCCCTTTCCCCGTAGAATCCCAGCAAGCAGGACGACCTGGTACTCTTCCGGAACATTGAACGGTTGATGATATAAATCCTGCATTACCGTAAGGACCCTAAACTATGGGAATCATGGTACATTCCTTATTATGGGTCATGCAGGATTTCTATCATCAACAGAAGTAGTATCAACCCTAAACCTAAACCCTAAACCTAAACCCTAAACCTAAACCCTAAACCCTGAACCCTAAACCCTAAACCCAAAACCCTAAACCTTAAACCCTAAACCCTAGACCCTAAACCCTGCACCCTAAACCCTAAACCCTGCACCCTAAACCCTAAACCCTGCACCCTAAACCCTAAACCCTGCACCCTAAACCCTAAACCCTGCACCCTAAACCCTAAACCCTAGACCCTAAACCCTAAACCCTAGACCCTAAACCCTGTTGCTTCAAAGCCTGGGCCGCATAACTTGAGGTTCTCGGCAGCCAACGCTCCGAAAGCCTTCTAGGAAAGGAGGGTTTAGGGTTTAGTCAAAGGGTTTATTAGGGTTTATTAGGGTTTATTGGGGTTTATTAGGGTTTATTAGGGTTTATTAGGGTTTATTAGGGTTTATTAGGGTTTATTGGGTTTATTGGTGTTTATTAGGGTTTATTGGGGTTTATTAGGGTTTAGGGCACTTTAGTGTTTGAGAGTTTCGGCCTTATGGGTTCAAGGGTTGAAGGTTCAGTCAAAGGGGAAGAGGAGGGACCCTTAATGGGGACCCCCACCCTATAATGGGCTATATGCTGGGTACATAATTGCTATATTAAGGGTCTTTACCTGGGGGTCCTCATCCCTAAACCCTAAACCCTAAACCCTAAACCCTAAACCCTAAACCCTCCTTTTGCCCTTGGATTGAGGGGTGTCGACTCTAAAGTTTGGATCCTGGGATGCACTCGAAGTGACGGGGGGTTCGTGATGAGAGCTTAAAGGCCCCAAGCCCAAACCAAGGACCCTACTTGGAGGGTCGGGGGACTTAGTAACTGGTTATTTTTGGGACTTATAAGTACCATAACCCCAATTAGGGTCCCGTTTAGGGTACTTATAAGTCTACTTACTACCTACTTACTAAGTCCCCCGACCCTCCAAGTAGGGGTACAGTAAACCCCATAAAGGTGGAAACTGGATTGAGGCCAAATAGTGCTGGGACTCCCTTTACATTAGTCTTCAGGGCTGAGTCTCTTGGGTTTCCAACTTTTGGGCTTCTACTATAAAGCCCTAAAGCCCAAACCCGAAACTCCCAAAAGACCCAAAAAGGCCCGAAGTGCTAAATCCGAAGCCTAGGAGCCTCAAACCCAAAACCAAACACCCGTCTTAAATCAAAGGGGAAAAGGAGGGACCCTTAATGGGGACCCCTACCCTATAATGGGCTATATAACGGGTATATGATAGCATATTAGGGGTATATACCTGGGGGTCCTTGTTCAGGGTCCCTCCTCTTACCCTTGGATCAAAGGCTCGGATTTAGGGGTGTTGGGTTTCGGGTTGAGGGTTCCCTTTGGCCCACACCTTCTGGCACCTTGCATAAGCAAAACCCCACCAACCTCTTCAAACAGCTTCGCGTTGAGATTTCATTAGGACCTTGTGAAACTTGAAAGAGTCAGAAAAGCCACAGAAGCAGGACGGAAAGCTGCTAGAAGCCCACGGACAAGTGCAGAATCCTTTTGCCACCTTAACCAGCCCTTGGCCCTAAACCCCATGCCCGAGGCAGCCCGAAAGCCACCCCAAACTGCAATGCCAGATCCCAGACCCTAAGCCCTTAACCCCAAGTCCAAAAAAAAAAAAATAACCCCAAGTCCTAAATCGGGAACCCTGAGCCCTGAACCCTTCACCCTGAGCCCTAAGACGCTAAACCCCTAAGCCAAAAATCCCACAGCCTGTATACAACCCTGGATTTGGAACCCCCTGCATAGCGATATACAAAACTGAACCCGCAAGCCTGAACCGCCTGAGCTCTCAACCTCAGTCTTTGAACCCCCTAGACCCTGGCAAGGGAATTTAAACGGTCCCCAAACCCTTAACCCTCAACCCCACACCCCTAAACCCCTAACCCTAAACACCTCAACCACTAAACCCCTAAACCCCCCCCTGAACCCCTAGACCCTAAACTTAAGCAACCCCCTAACCCCTACCCTAAACCCTAAACTTCAGTAAACAAGGACCTGCTCTGGGAGGCGATGGATCGCAACCAGGACCCGCTTTAGCTTCCACGGTTTAGGGGCTTAGGGTTTTAGGGGTTTAGGGGTTTAGGGGTTTATAGAAAATGTTAAGGGTTTAGGGGTTTAGGGGTTTATAGAAATTGTTAAGGGTTTGGGTGCCAATTAAGTTTTGACCGAAATTCTTGAGCGAAACGGTTCTTTTTGCGAAACTTGGTTCTGGGAATTGCTGGGCCGTGAACGAGTTTTGGCGGGCTGGGCTGGACTGGTGGTGGCTGGGCTGACACTGGGGGCTGGGGCTGGGGGCTGCTGGGGCGGGGGCTGGGGGCTGGGGGCGGTTTAGGGGGTTCAACGTTAACAATTCTATTTGTTTCTTTCTTGGGGGTTTAGGGTTTTAGGGCGTTTAGTTGATTAGGGTTTCTTAAGAATTCTGCTTTATCATGTGTCTTTAGTATAATAACGGTTTAGGGGACCGGCGCTGTAAGAGGTTACTTGCTTATTGGATCGGGGCACTCAGTGATAGGGGGACCCAGTCAGTAAACTTTGCGCTTCCTAGAGTGTCGCTATCCAGGGCTTAGGGTTTAGGTTTTTAGCCTGGATGACTAGCAATAGTAGATCCAGTTAGTGCCAGTGTGTAGTTGTACGGCAATATACACACAAACCCTGTTCAAACTATTCAGGATGCCCTGCAGGAGGGACCGCTATGAATTTCAGGACAGGTCTAGTGTTCAGGGTCATCAATGTTGGTAGAGCTTTTGGGCACTATTTGGGCATTGGGCTTGGTTTGGGTGGATGTTATCTAGGCCTCTTGCAACACTTCAAGAAGTTTGTAGGGATAGGTAGAGATTGGCTATGCGGAGACGTGCGGATATCCGTCGACCCTGACACTTTACACCCCGCGCGAACACCCATCAAACTTCTCCCAAACCCAGAGCCACTCCCCCACCCCAGAACATCACCGAATCACCGAACAACGAACACCATCAACATAATCCGTCCATCGCGCCCGAGTAATCTAAGCCGGAAAGACACACCTCGAGATCCTTAGACTCAGATCCGCTGGAATTTTGTGAGGCATTTCCCAAAGCCCAGAAACCATCAACCATAATGGCTGCAAGGCCGATGGAACCGTCATACACCCATAAAGCCCATAACATCCTGCAAACGTCGCTAAGAAGCAAACCCTAATTACTAGCTTCTAAGCCCGAAAGCCTAGACCCAAAATCCACAACACATATCCACAAAAGAATCCTAAACCCCGAATCCTAAACCCCAAATTCCTAACCCCCAAAAGAATCCTAAACCCCAAATTCCCAAACCCCAAGCAAAACCCTTTAAACCCTAAACACTAAACCCTAAACCCTAAACCCTAAAGCCCAAAGAAGACAGAAGCAACGAAAGGACGGACTCCTGAGTCCCAGCGAGCTGGGTTTCGTGGATCCGCGCACAATGAAGCGGTGATCTTTTTTAGGGGGGTTTAGTCCTTTTAAGGGTTCCTTTAAAGGGTCCTATAAGGGTTCTATAAGAGGTCTTTTGGTATCTATAGTCCCTTTTCATAGTTATGGTACAAAATACCCCGCAAACCCTCTTTTACAGTCCTCCCCAGGATTCTCTACTATGTTTTCCGGCACAAGCATAAACGTACCCCTCTCCAGAAAAAGAAGCTTGGTCTAGTAGCAAGTGCGTCCTTGCCCGACTTTCATTCTATCAAATAAACCCTAACCCCTAAACCCTATACCTTAGAAGGGGCCCCCACCCTGTAATAGTGGTATAATAGGAATATAATAGGGCCCTAATATAATCCTTATAGTCACTATTACAGGGTGGGGGCAGACCTAAACCCCTAAACCCTAAACCGGTGGCTTTCTTAGGGTCTGAATCATCGGACCGCTGCGGAGTCTGCGCTTTGTACATAGTCGTTTGGCGGTGCGGTCTGTCGGACCAGGTTTCTGTGCCATGAAACGAAACCCTCATATAAGGGGGCATTTTGGGGTTTAGGGTATAGGGTTTAGGGCCTTTACAATTACCTATACTATTTTGGGGGTTCCTTATACTTGTAATAATTATAGTATAATGGGCCCCAAAACCCTGCGCTACTGTCTGGTAACGGGGGAACGGATAATGGGGACTTTTTCGGGGGATTTTTTGGGACTCCTATTGGGATCCATTCCCCCATTCCCTACTAAGAACCAGAGCGGCCTGATCCGACGATCCTAGAGACTCCAGTATCCCTTCATTAAGGAATATACCTTAAATCATATTAGGGATCCTACTGTAATATAAGGTACATATCTGAATTGAGGGATATTGGAGTCTATGGGATATCTAGGGCCGTGTGGTCGCGAGCTGTGGGTTGTAGCCGTCAACTGACCACGGCTCGCTTGGCAAGAGAAAACAGACGGGTTGGGTTCAAGATGTGGGGTTTGGGTTTTAGGGCCTTGCCTTAACACTGAGGTTTCACTTTGGAGACTGGCCCTATTCACGTAGTCCCAATAGCCGGAATCATGGTGACCAATACGACGCTTTTAACATTGGTATTCATCGCAATGCTCGTTCTGATATACAGCAGCCGGTGTAGGTGTCTGAAACAGAAGCCAGCATTGTCCAAACAATCAGAGTAACAAAAGACAATGGGCGGGGCAGGAGTAGTGAAAGGACCCAGGCAGTACCAGTGCTGCGTATGAGCTGTATGGTGGCTACTGGTAGAAGCTATAATATGAATTACTGCGCTGTTACTCACAGAAAGAGTGGCTACAGCGTGATCACGAGCTGCGCTTCAATTT